AAGCCATGATTGTCATGTCATGTATGTTATGATTATTTCTAGCACATACTGTTTACTCTTTTTGGTCGAAAGCCACAATACTGAACAACAGCTCTAGTAAAGCTCATTCCACACTTCTGTCTTGTTTAGCTGACTCCACTATAAAACAGCTAGCCAAAGCGCAATAAATCCTGAATTTGTTGCAGAACGGCCAAACGTGGCTTATTTTACTAACAGCTTAATCTGTTCCCAAACATACAAAGAGAGAAACTAATAACGCTACTCCCAACCTCAGGTCTCCAGAGTTATTACATCTGGATGTCAGTGGAGGACGATGACAAGATAAAGAAGCCACTGCAAATAACGGAAAATGAGGTTAGCGCAGGCGCTAACGCAGTGCTAAAGCCAAACCGCTGCTGCTTTATTGTTTTCTCGTAGCGTGTCCTGCCCAGCTATCAGCAGTAAAGCTCAGTAAAACTGCTGATTAGATTAGTTAAAATCATGAGGCCTTGGAGCCGTACAATTTTGGTCATTAGGAAAACTCGGGATAGTTGGACAGATCTCTTAGCCATCTGGAAGAGTGCAAGTTTTCCTGTAAACTTTTTTTCTTGTGGGTCTTGTAAATAAACACTCGTCTTCTCATTTTTCCTCTTATAAAAGCTGGCAGAGGCTGGATTATAAAAAGTAGATGGGTTATTTATCATGTGTGTGAAAACACAAAGAAGCTATGTGCATTTCTCAAAAATTCTGTAAGCAAATGCATTGATCTATGAAAGGCTCACATGTGTTATTTTTAAACCAGGAAATACTTTTTAAAATGGAAATAATGCTCCAACTGAGTGATAGTCATAATTTGTGTACAAAATAGTTTGAAGTATTGAACAAATATTTAAATGGTTTAGGATTAGATTACTCTTTAAAATAGCATAGTTTGTAACAATAAAAAAATAATATTTGTTATTTATGATGTTTTGTTTTCATATTTTAACATCAAAATCCATGTCCATGTTGAATTTTGATTATACAGTATATGTAGTAAAATATTTTTTGTTTTTTTATTATTTAATGTTTCATTTATTCATTTATTTTAATTCATTAAATTTTTTTTTAGTTTTATTAATTTTTTATTTGTTTTCTGTTTTAAATTGTTTTATATAATTTTTTTATTTGCCTGTTTTATTTAATTTAATTCAAATTCATTTATTTAGATTATTTTAGATTATTAGTTTTATTTCATTTATGTAAGTATTTTTTTAGTTTTTTGTTTAATTCTAACTGATTTCATACATTTAATTTAAAATTATATTATGTAGTTTTATTTATTTAATTTGTACATATTTGTTTTTTTTTTAACATTCTA